GGCAGAAGGATCGCTTGAACCCAGGAGTTTGAGGTTGCTGTGAGCTAGGCTGACACCACGGCACTCTAGCCCAAGCAACAGAGCAAGACTCTGTCTCAAAAAAAAAAAAAAAAAATTAGATGAGTTACTGGACATCAGATCTCTTTGTGTTAATGCTCCTCTTTAAATATGCTTCAGATTTCCCAATCCCAAACTCTCCAAACCATACAAGAACTGCAGTTGATGCTGTGATATGACTAAAAAGATTAGTATTAGTTTACCTTGATTGATCATTTCCTAGGTAGTTCAACTCTGTTCTAAGTGCTCTAACCCGTTAATTCATTTAACCTTCACAACACTTCAGAGATAGGTACTCTTAATGATCAGGAAGCTAAGGCCCAGAGAGGTTACCTTGCTCCGGGCCACATAGCTAGTAAGTTACCAGGATTCAAACCCAGGCAGTCTGACTCCAGAAGCCTTGCAGGAATGCCTCAAATTATTGAAGGAAAAATTTCAGCAGCTAGAGAGAAGTGGGGTTTTAGGCCAGGTTACCAAGATGGAGTTGTAACATGGAGTAGTGCAAGAAGCAGAGACCCAGGTGGTTAGAAGAGCTGCTTCTGGCCATTTGTGCAATTCCATTCCATATTGTCTTATAAATGCAGAAAGAAAAATTTAAATGACAGGCTATGATAAGTATTGTGAAATAAATAAGAGGCTTATGTTTAGAGGTCATGTAATCGGGAGTGGGAAGTTATTCAGGTATTTAGGAAGTATGGGAAATTGCGCAGGAAGGAGGGTGACAGAAGCATCACAAAAGGCCTCCTGTACCAGCTTTCACTGGAGAGCTGCTCTTGCTCAGGCCCTTGATTTAAGCCTGGTGTCTCCTAGCTGGTTTCTGGGCTCCCAGCCTTTTGCCTTTCCCATCCATCTGGCCGTGCATCCTGGTGCAGCGAAGGAGGAAGGGCCTTCACTGGGAAATAAGGAGATTTGGGTTCCAGGCCTACCTCTGCCACTAACTCAACCGCATGACCTTAAGTATGTCCCCTCCTCTCTCTGGCTGAGCTTTCTGAGCATGTATTCTGTGGAACAGTATTCCCATGAGATGTTCTGTGGGAAAAAAAACACGCATTCTTCCCCATGCCCCTTGGAGAGTCCTCTTTAGCGCATTACAGTGCAGGGCAGTCTTCAATAAAGAAGCCTCTTCACCCACTGCTTCCCAAACCTGCTTAAAACATGGAATTAGCTCCAAGAGCTCCTGTCATCTCTAAATGCCATCACTCCAGGGCCACCCTGGGAACTGGCTCTTCCATCCTCCTCCTCACTCAGCCAAAAACCCAACTATCCTCCTGGGCTCCTCTGATGCCCTCGGCCCATGAACAGAACAGGCCCTGTCTGTTCGACTTCCAGCATTTACCTCTGCTTGTCTGCCACTCTTTTTCTACTTGCCCTGCTGCAGTCCATTCTCAGAGCAGCCAGAGTGGGTTTACTTTTTTTTTTTTGAGACAGAGTCTCACTGTGTTTCCCGGGCTAGAGTGAGTGCCATGGCATCAGCCTAGCTCACAGCAACCTCAAACTCCCGGGCTCAAGCGATCCTACTGCCTCAGCCTCCCGAGTAGCTGGGATTACCACCATGCCCGGCTAATTTTTTCTATATATTTTTAGTTGTCCGATTAATTTCTTTCTATTTTTAGTAGAGACGGGGTCTCGCTCTTGCTCAGGCTGGTTTCGAACTCCTGAGCTCAAACAATCCGCCCGCCTCGGCCTCCCAGAGTGCTAGGATTACAGGCGTGAGCCACCACGCCCGGCCAACTTTTTTAATGCCAATCAGATCACCTTAACATTGTTTAAGGTAGTAAAGTTTACATGAGGTCCCTAGAGTAGTCAAATTCAGAGACAGAAAGGAAAATGGTAGTTGCTGGGGGCTGGGGAGAGGGAGGAATAGGTAGTTAGTGTTTCCTGGGTGCAGAATTTCAGTTGGGGAAAATAAAAAAGCTCTGGGAGCTGGGTGCAGTGGCATGTACCTGTAGTCCCAGCTACTTGGGAGGCTAAGGCAGGAGGATTCCTTCAGCCTAGGAGTACAAGGTTGCAGTGAGCTGCAGTTGAGCCTGTGAGTAGCCACTGAGCTCTAGCCTGGACAACATGGCAAGACCCCGTCTCTAAAAAAAAAAAAAAAAAGCTCTGTAGATGAATGGGGGGTGACAATGTGAATATATTTAACACCTCTGAACTGTATACTTAAAAATAGTTTAAGTGGTAAATTTTATGTTATGTGTATTTTACCACGAAACAAAGACACAAACAACCAGTGGCTTCCGAATATATTGAGAATCCAATCCAAACTTCACATCATGACAAGCCAAAGCCTCTGTGGCCTGCCCCTCCCCTCTCCAAGCCCGTGTGTCAGTCTTCTCCACCCAGTGCGTCAGTCCAGCCAGTGTCCTTCCTGCACCTCACCCTGCACTCCTCCCTGGCTCAGAGCATCCCACCTGCTGTTCCCTCTGTTTGGAAACACCTTTATCCGCCACGCTCCCCTGGCCCCAACCTCCCCAGCCTCTGAAACCTGCCCTCCCCACTCCCACACCCTGCACCCCGTTCCCCCCTGGCCCCTCGTCATTTGGATTTCAGCCCAAATGTCTCCTCCTCACCATGGCCTAGCCTAAGCATCCATCTGCAACGTCTCAGCACATCGCTCTGTTTTAGCTCCTCTCTAGTGCTCATTATTTGCAATTACAGTACCTTGCTTTATTCATGCTCTGGGGTTTAGCCCTTGTCTCTCCCCACTAGAACATAAGCTCCAAGACAGTTCCTGTGTCTGTTTTTCCTGCTATATCCTGGCACACAGAACAGCACCTAGAACACGGCACCGGTGCTGATCCAGGCAGCTCCATGCTTGACACACAGAGCCTGGTTCTCCTCCTTCCCTGCCAGTGCCTTCTCCCTCCAGCTCTTCATGTTTGAAACCTCTGGGGCTTACTTGCTCACAGCTTGCATTGTCAGTCACTGACCCATGCAGATTCAATGGCAGAAGCCTCTCATGAGTACCCTTCCTCCCAATTCCAAGGTCACCACCCTTGGTCCCAGTTCCTGATAACCTCCACCTGGGAACAGATGCCCCATAGATCTCTAGTGTCCAGTCTCCTCCCACAGGTCACACTCCACACTGCTTTGCAAAAACATCTTCTGACAACACCTATCAAATAGCCCTGCTCCTGCTCAGGGATTTTTCTACGGTTCCTCAATGCCTACAGGATAAACCTCAAGCTCCTCTGCTGAGACCCATGGCCCCAGATTTGACGCCCCCATCTCAGCAGCATCTGTCTGCCATTCTTCCTTACCTAGTTCTTCGAGTTTCAGTCAAGTGGAACTGCTGACCATTCCCTATACATGCCTATCCAGGTCTACTGAAATCTTTCTCATTCTTCAAAGCCAGTGTGAAAGACCTCCTCCAGGAAGCCATCTGTGATTCAGAAGACCTGCCTGGGTCTCCTCTAGGTCCTGTCACATACTATTTTTTATTGTATTAGAATAATAACAACAATAACCAATGTTTATTAAAGACTAATGTGCAAGGCACTGCACATTACAGATTATCTCATGTAATCTCTGCATCAATATTATGAGGCAGGTGCTATTATCTAGGTCTTACAAATGAGCAAACTGAGGCCCACAGAGGGGACTTGAGCGAGAAGTGATTTGCCCAAGATCATACGACAGAAGGCAAGGCAGTCAGGCTGACTGCAGAGCCCACGCACCCAACCTCTGCTCCACGCTGCGCCCACGTTTCCTCCTTCCTATGTAACAAGCCTCCTTTGCTGCTCCCTCTGCCTGAAAATCTCCCCCCACACCAATTCCTACTGACTGCTACGGGAAGCACAGCCATCTCCTCCAAGCAGCACTTCCTGGCATGTCACTGACCAGGCTGGGTTAGGTGGCGCCTCTGGGCTTCCTCTGTCACAGTGCCAATCACTAGTTTCCCACATGGAATGTGAGACCTGAGTCAGCTGTGTCCACCGAGCTCAGCACAAAAACCCACAGAGGCCAGCAAAATGTGACCATGACACCCTGCCTCCTGAGTAGGCCTCTTTACTCTCTCTAAAGCGTAGGACGTCAAAAATAAGTCACTCTTTCTGCAAATGTTTATTGCAGATGGTGTTTGCTGAATGAATGAATAAATGAATGGGGTCAGCTTTCCTCATCTCAGAATTCTCTTATCACCTGGCATAGTCCCTTCAACAGAAGGCACTCGACACACAGTGACAATACTGCCTGCGCTGAGTGAAGACGGGCATCAGCCTTGCCGGGGCTCTCTGTTTCCCACTCGGGCTCCCCCTACGCTGGCTGGGCTGGGTCCTGCATCCTGAGCTCCTGTCCCATGTTTCTGCCCAGATCTGACTTCTCAGAGGAAGTGGTAGAAATAATCTGGGCTTCATATCAGTTTCCAGCCTCTCCTTGGCCTTATAACAGTGAAACTTGGAGAATGTCACTTCATCTCTGAGCTTCAGTTTACTTGTCTGCAAAACAAGGTAACAGACAGCCACACCTTGCCTCCTGACTCTCTAAAGTGTATGGTGACAATAAGTCAGTCTTTAAACAAACGTTTATTGCACACTTACTATGTCATACATATTATCTTGTTAAAATTTCAGTCTTCACAGTAACCCTTTGAGGTAGATATTATTAATCCTCATTTTACAGATGAGGGAACTGAGGCTCAGGGAGGGCATGCAACCTACCAGCTGTGCCTGGGGGCCAGCTGCAGAGACTAGACTTGTGCTGCGTGCCTCTGTATTCTTCCCACCCACCGCACACACCATGGCTCCCTGCTGGTGACAACTAGCCAGGGCTTGACCGCATCCTCCATCTGGGCCCCCTCCCCAGGCCTTAGTCCCCTAGCATTTGCCTCTGAAGTAGATTAGGGAGAAATGGATGTTTCCTGAGATGGTGGAAAGATCTGTTGCACCTGCTACTGAGATAACACTTTGAGAAAAGTCCAGTGTCACTCTCTTCATTTTTTTTTTTTTACAAAAGACTGGGGAGAGGGGGGCAAGTTTAATCTATTGGAATCTTTACAGGCACTTCTCTTTTTACAAGTTGGAAACTTGAGGGATCCTTGCGGAAAGCCCAAGGGAAGAATTTCAGTCCCCAAGTCCCTGACTCAGGAGCCTACCTGAGGGCTCAGTCAGTCCGTCCTTAGTGCCAAGGTCAGGCTCAACTCCAGCCCGTGGGAGCCGCTCAGCCGCACTCCTCAAAGATGTCCGGGTAGTGCCGGAAGAGCACAGGTGGGTCACGGTCACCTCGGACTGGGGCCCGAGGTACAGCCCGGATCCCAGGCCTCCGGCCCCGCCGCCCCCCGGAGCAGGAGCGGTGGATCCACTGGTGCGCTTCCACAGCGAACTTCCTCTTGAAGCGCATGCCGCACTCGGGGCAGGGGAAGGGCCGCTCGCCCGAGTGCATGCGCCGGTGACTGACCAGCAGCGAAGGGTAGGTGAAGCGGCGGCCGCAGTCTGCACACACGTGTCGCCGCTGGCTGGCCTGGGCATCCATGCTAGGCACAGGGACAGTGGGCTGCGCACCTGTGATCTGGTCCCAGGCAGCTTTTGTGGGTGGCTGTGCTCTTGCCGAAGCCCCGCTGACAGTACACTCAGGCGTGTGTTTAACTTTCTCCTCAGGCTGCTCCTTTCCAGGGGTCTTTCCAGGTCCTCCAGCTCTTGGCCCTTCCTTGGGTGCCTCTTCCTTCTTGTCTGGGGCATCTCCTGGGAAACAGGAATTAAGTTACATTTTAAAACACTTTTGCACAGACCGTCTCAGGTTATGGGGTGCTTTTTACTTAAGGCAGTGCCAGAAAAGTCCTGCTCAGTGTTTAACACCCAGACTTTGGAGGAAGGTGAACAGCATACAAATCTGTTAAGTGTGAGTTAGCTGGGCCTTGGTTCCTTATGTGTCCAATGGGAATAATAATGGTTATTTGACTTCGCAGGGTCGTTGGGAGGATTAGTGGAGCAGATGTATGTTAAGCACTGAGTAAATTCTCAGTAAGCAGTAGCTATTAGTAGTGTAGCTTCTCCATTGTTTGTAGGGTACGACTGCTTTACAGATGAGGAGACTATTGCTCAAGGTCACTCTGCAGAGGGTGGTGAGAGGAGGACAGCCAAGCTGTCAATTACTGTGCATTTTTTCTGGTAGGACTTTGCCTAGCTAGAGGATTGTGAAAGGCAGAGCTGAAAGCACTTCCACTTGTAGGAGGTTTAGTTCTTCCTGAAAGAGGGAGAATGAGAGGAACCTAGAAACCTAAGTCTTGGACTTGGGCTTTGGATCTCCCACTCTGGTCTCAACATGACTGCTGTCCCACGTTTTGAAAACTTTGAAACAGGTCTGCCTTCTTTACTCCTCTAGTATCCAACACAAGTTGGCTCTTTAATTCCTTTAAGGATGCTGATGCTGGAAGTGGGAGCCTGTAAGAAAACTTTGCTAGACAAGAAGCCGTGGAGAACCAAGTGGGGGAAGACCTGGGACAATCCCTCACCTCTCCGAGCTCCTCCCAGGCTCTCCCCCTCCTCAGGATCCTGGGCGGCGGGGCTCCAAGCCTCGCTCTCCTGTTCCATCCAAGAGATGAGGGCTGGTTTGGGGCCCGGGAATCCTGGGAGAGAACAGGGATCACAGTGCTGGCCTGAGAGGCTATCCTGGGAAGATGGCATCCCCCTGCCTGGGTGAGGGCACCTCCTCAGAATTCATACTCAGTCCGGACCCGGTGCAGTGCTCCTGCCTCAATGAAGCGGATGCGGGATGAAAACACTCCCGAGGGGGTACCTGAAGCCCTGGGAATGGCAGGTGGCGGGTGCTGTTGGTGGAATAGTGCGGGATTAGGGCTCACAATCCTCTCGGTCCTTCACTCTATATCAGCTCCCCTGTGAACCCCGGTAAAGGAGGACAGGGGTTCTGACCCGGGGCCTCACCGAGCGCGCCCAGGTGGCCGTAGGTCTCCCGCATCACGTCCCGGTACAGGGCCCTCTGCGCGGGCCGCAGACACCCCCACTCCTCCGGGGAGAAGTACACGGCCACGTCCGCGAATCTCACGGCCCCAGGCTTCCTGCAACCAGGCCGGGTCTCCCCGGGTCTCGGCGCCAGAAGCGGGGCTGGGGGCGGCGCCATGGGGCCTTCCAGCCCCGAGCAGAGGCCGCCTGGTCCCCGGGGCCACCGCCTCCCCGCTCCCGGCCTCAGCTTTCGTCGTCCACAGGAAGGGTTGCCCAGGCTCGGGCCCCGCCCAGCCTTGGCGTCCAAATGCAGTCGAGGGAACCGAAGTAGCAGGGACGAGCAGCTAGGGATTCGGGGATTCTGAAAGGGACAAATGAAACTCCTTAGTGTTTATTCACTTCATGGCCGCTTGGACATAGGCACCCGGGTTAAGGGACCCGGAAGGTGCCTTTAGAAAATATGGCGATAACCTGGCTTCATTGTCACTGGTTGCTTGTAAGAGCGCCACTCCTTGGGCATATCAAATATGGCGTTTTCTGGCTTCTCTGGCCTCATTGTCCCACTTGCCCTTAAACACAATGGCCGTGTCGGGCGCTTTCTTTGGTGGGGGATGCGGACCGTCTGGGAAGTGGAGGAGACAGTCTCTTGCCTTTAAGAAAGATGGTCGGGCCCCCAGCTTCAAGTACCTCTCTTTGGCCACGAGACACAGCGGTCGATGATTGGACTCAACCACAGGAAGATGCTGGCTGTGATTGGTCCCCGACTGGCGGGGCATTTGAAGTGGCCTGTGGCCCTGAATCCTCTATTGACAGATTGGAACGCAACAAGGGCCTCGGTCTCTAGGGTGCCCAGGATTGTGTCCCAGGTAGTCTCCCAACGTTTCTCCGGACGACGGGATCTAGAATCTGGTCCCCATCCCTTGCGAGAAGACGCACAAAGACTGGGAAACCCGGGAGACAGCCGAGGTAGGAACCAGGTGCGTGTTTACAGTTAGGAGCGTAGCTGTGGCGCCCACCTGGGGCTCCGCTCGCTCAGTCTCTGGACCCGAGCTGCAGGCGAAGGAATGTGCTTAGCGAGGATAGATTCAGAATGGGGAAATTTTAAATCGCGTTATAATTTTTGCCAAATTAATGTACATAGTTCTTAAAAAGTAATACATAAGCCTTACAATCAAAAAGGGAGTCCCCTGTGACCTTTCCCCCTGTTCGTTAGAGGCATCTACTTTTAGCTCTTTTCATTAATTTGAATTATATTGTACATACAGTAAAATGCATAGATTTTCAATGTTCACCAAGTTTTGGCAAATGTATACACCTGTATAACCATCACCAAAACAACATATAAGGGCCTGGCGCTGTGGCTCATGCCTGTAATTCTAGCACTCTGGGAGGTAGAGGCGGGAGGATCCTGAGGTCAGGAGTTTGAGGCCAGCCTAAGCAAGAGCAAGACACCTCCCCCCCCATCTCTATTCAAAATAGAAAGAAATTAGCTGGCCAACTAAAAATACATAGAAAAAATTAGCCGGGCATGGTCCCACATGCCTGTAGTCAGTCCCAGCTACTTAGGAGGCTGAGGCAGAAGAATTGCTTGAGCCCAGGAGTTTGAGGTTGCTGTGAGCTAGGCTGACACCACGGCACTCTAGCTCTGTCTCCAAAAAAAAAAAAAAACATATAGGACACTGATGTCACCTCCAAATGTTTCCTTGAGCACCCTTCTAGTCAATATTGTTTTATCGCGGTAAAATACATGTGAGATAGAATAACCATTTTACTTTTTTTCTTATTTATTTTTTATTTGCATATACTCATGGGGTACAAGTGCAATTTCGTTATATTGATGTATTACATTGTGGTCAATAGACTAACCATTTTAAACTGTGGCATTCAATGGCATTTAGTATATTCACAATGTACAACCATCATCATTTTCTTTTTTTAATTTTTTCCTTTTATTTTATTATTTTTTTAGAGAAGGGGTCTTGCTCTGTTGCCCAGGCTGGAGTTCAGTGGCACCATCATAGTTCACTGCAGGACCATACATCGTTCACTGATCCTCTCGCCTCAGCCTCCAGAGTCTCTGGGGTTACAGGCATGCACCACCTGCCTGGCCCCCCACCATTTCCTATTTTCAACACCCCGAAAGAAAACCCCCTACCTATTAAGCAGCCTGTAGGGACTGTCCCTGGGCAAATTGGCTTAAGCCCAGAGTCAGCGAAACTGGGCATGCTCTCCTTGGGGCCAGAGGTCAATAGGTCCGGACACGGCCTCTTGACCAAACAGAACTATTCCTCATGACAGATAGCTTTATGACAGATAACCAAGCGCCTGGGGTCTTGCAAACAAGCCAAGGCATCTCATTGTCCTGCATACGGTAATGAGATAAAGAAGTTAAGCTGCAAGAAGTTAAGATGCAAACGTCTGCTTCCCTTAAGCAATCGTCTGGAAGGAATGAAAATGTGTTTCCTCAAGTCGCCCAAGGTAGTCACGTGCCAGGAAGTAGCTGTCGGACATAGAAAAAGTGCATAATAAAGCGACTGGTAGAATTGTCTACTGCAGTCTTGTACGTCTTGTGTGTGTCTGTGTGTTTCTTTCTGTGTCCATCCCCCGTTCTGCAATCCGGGCGGCGACACAGCCACTCCCCATGTCCCCTCCGCCAAGCCCCTGGCAATCACTAATCTGCTTTTTGTCTCTATGGACTTGCTTTTTCTGGATATTTCATATAAATTGAATCACATAATATGTGGCCTTTGTGCCTGGCTTCTGTCAGCATACTTTTCTCAAGGTTCATCCGTGTTATAGCATGTATCAGTATCTCATTATCTGTACCTCTTTTGATGGCTGAATAATATTCCACTGTATGTACATATACTTAAAAATAATTAAAAATAATTACATATACTTAAAAATAATTTTTTTTTGAGACAGAGTCTCACTCTGTCATCCTGGCTAGATTAGAGCACAGTGGTGTCATTATAGATCACTGCAACCTCAAACTCCTGGGCTCAAGTGATCCTCCCGCCTCAACCTCCCAAGTAGCTGGGACTACAGGCACGGGTCACCACACCCGGCTAATTTTCTATTTTTAGTAGAGATGGACGGGGTCTCGCTCATTGCTCAGGCTGGTGTCGAACTCCTGAACTCGAGTGATCCTCCCACTTTAGCCTCCTGGAGTGCTAGGACTACAGGTGTGAGCCACTGCACCCAGCCTCTTTTTTATTTTTTGAAAATTATAAAAATAAAATCATTTAATGTGTCTTGAAATTGCCCTAAGAGCATAAGAAAATGAAGAAATATACTAAGTCTTGGTAAGAACAGCAAGAGTCTGTGGCACTTAACCCATGATGTGCTCCCTCCCTCATTCCCCCAGTTCACTATGAGGGAAGTTTCAATATGGGTGGGTATGGCTAAGAATATAGGGCTCCCTGTCTCCCCAGTTCCCAGTCAGAGGGTAGTATCTCCCCAGGAGTATGTCACTGGCATTGTTCACCTCACAAATCCCAGGTCCCTGTGGCAGAGGATAAATTCCAAGTGAGTGTAGCTAAGATGTTGAGGGCTCCCTTCCTCCACCCAGCCCCCATACATAGGGTGGAGGCTCTACCTCTGGCATAGCAGACCAATAATACTGGGGCCCCAATAACCCTCACCCACTCATGGGGTGGAGATTAAATTTTGGGACAGGCAAACCAAGAAAACCAGAGGCTACTGCCTCACCCAGAACACAGCTCAAAAACAGAGTGTTCCTCTGAGAGAAACCTAATTTTTAATTTTTTTTAAGAGACAGTCTTGCTGTTGCCCAGGCTGGAGTGCAGTGGCATAATCTTAGCTCACTGTAGACTCAAACTCCTGGGCTCAAGCCATCCTCCCTCTTCAGCCTCCCAAGTAGCTGGGCCTACAGGGATATACCACCAAGCCTGGCTAATTTTTGCATTCTTTGTAGAGATGGGGTCTTGCTATTGCCCAGGCTGGTCTTGAACTTAAGTGGCCTTAAGTGATTCTCTCACCTCAGCCTCCCAAAGTGCTAGGATTATAGCTGTGAGCCACTGTGCCCAGGCCGTTTCTGCTTTGAGTTGTTTCAAAGTACCAAGGATAGCATCAATTCTTAAATCCTACATTTTTCCCCCGGGAAAGCTCCCTCCTGGAGACCTCAGTCCCCTCTCCAAACTGGACTGGGCCTCGGCTGTCTTCCAGGGTCCCCCTTCCTGTTCTCCTGGGTTGTATCCTCCACTTCCTAGATTCAACATCTTCTCTTTACTTTTTAGTCAAGATGGGTCATCTTCATAGCTGGTAGCATTGGACTATAAGTGCCATATGCCTTCATCCCCACATTTGGAATATTTCTGCAATTACGCAGGACACCAGAATACCGTTTGCGATGAGGCTGGTGGCTGGAGAGAACAAGGCCTACCAGGTCTCTGCTGTCAGCCTGGTCCTGGGGCCACTCCTTGCTTGGCTCTCCTGCCTGCCGTAGCGCAGGCCAAGCCTCCCGTTTTTGCTCAATAATGTTACTCATTGTTAATAATGCTAGTGCCTTTTCAGTCAAGATTTCTTTATATTTTCTGGCCTACCCTTGCTGTTTTTCACCAAGAACATTTTCTGGCTTTTAGTCTGATTTCCGCTGATCTTACCTCTTAACAATTATATGCTTATTGTATAACTTTGAGTCCTGGAAGTGCCTTACTGCCCTTACTGTGGTGAATGGTGCAGAAATAGAGTAAGGAAAAATACACACTCAGAAATAAGTCTTCTTCTATTTTTTAAAAAAAATTGAAACATTGATTTTATTGATACATGATATTTGTACATATTTATGGGGCACATGTGATATTTTGTTACATGCATAGAATGTGTAATGAGCAAGTCAGGGTATTAAGGGTATCCATCACCTCAAATATTTCTTTGTGTTGGAAACATTTCAAGTTCTCTCTTCTAGCTATCTTGTAAGTATGCAAAATGTTAACTACACTCATCCAACTCTTCTATCAAACTTTAGAACTTATTCCTTCCATCTAACTGTATGTTTGTACCCATTAACCAACCTCTCTTCATTCCCTCTCCCTCTCCCCCAACACCCTTCCCAGTCTCTGGCCTCTATAATCCTACTCCACCTCCATCACATAAACTTTTTTAGCTCCCACGTGAGTAAGCACATGTGATATTTGTCTTTCTGTGTCTGGCTTATTTCACTTAACATGATGACCTTCATTTCCATCCATGTTGCTGCAAAAGACATGATTTCATTCTTTTTTTATGGCTGAATAGCATTCCATTGTGTATAAATACAACGTTTTCTTTATCCATGCATACACTGATAAATGCTTAGGTTGATTCCCTATCTTTGCTATTGTGAATAGCACTGCAATAAACGTGGGGCTGCAGATATTTTTTTGATATACTGGTTACTTTTTTTTTTTTTCTTCCCCTGGTTTCTCCTGGGAGATATACTGGTTTATTTTCCTTTGCATAAATACCCAGTACTGGAATTGCTGGATACTATGGTAGTTCTATTTTTAGTTTTTTGAGAAATCTCCATAGTGGCTGTGCCAATTTACATTTCCACCAACAGTGTATAAGAGTTCCCTTTTCTCCGAATCCTTGACAGCATCTGTTATTTTTTTGGATTTTTAATCACAGCCATTCTAACTGGAGTAAAATGGTATCTCATGTGGTTTTGATTTGTATTTCCCTGATGATTAGTGATATTGAGCATTTTTTCATGTACCTGTTGGCCATATGTGTGTCTCCTTTTGATTCTCCTTTTAAACAGAGTATTAACTTTAACTAACAAGATACTATAAAGCATTTCATCTGAACCAAAAAATACTTTTGTTTCTTCAGGTACTATGTTCTAAATCACTTCTTTCTGGACTAAGGTTGGAGAAGACTTAAAAAGATGGAGCTAAACAATCAATTTGGTTAACTAATCAGATTGAAACAAACTTTCAGGTAAGACTAAAACTGTTCCATCATAAATGGCTGATATCATGTTGTTTTTCCTGCTATTCATTATAAAAATACACAGATGCTTTGCTTTCAAATTGTTTTATTGCCCATCAAATTGTAAATGTTTGTTCAAGACTCTTTTTTTTTTTTTTGAGACAGAGTCTCACTGTGTTGCCCGGGCTAGAGTGAGTGCCGTGGCGTCGGCCTAGCTCACAGCAACCTCACACTCCAGGGCTCAAGCAATCCTACTGCCTCAGCCTCCCAAGTAGCTGGGACTACAGGCATGCGCCACCATGCCCGGCTAATTTTTTTTTATATATATATTTTTAGCTGTCCAATTAATTTCTTTCTATTTTTGGTAGAGACGGGGTCTCGCTTTTGCTCAGGCTGGTCTCGAACTCCTGAGCTCAAACAATCCGTCCGCCTCGGCCTCCCAGAGTGCTAGGATTACAGGTGTGAGCCACCACGCCCGGCCTGTTCAAGACTCTTGATCAGGCCAGGTGCAGTGTCTCACGCCTGTAACTCTAGCACTCTGGGAGGCCGAGGCGGGAGGATCAGATCGCTTGAGCTCAGGAGTCTGAGACCAGCCCAAGCAAGAGTGAGACCCTGTCTCTACTAAAACTAGAAAAAAATTAGCTGGGCAACTAAAAATAGAAAAAATTAGCCGAGAAAAAAATTAGCCGGGCATGGTGGTGTGTGCCTGTAGTTCCAGCTACTCAGGAGGCTGAGGCAGGAGGATTGCTTGAGCCCAGGAGTTTGAGGTTGCCGTGAGCTAGGCTGACACCACGTCGCTCTAGCCCAGGCAACAGAGTGAGACTCTGTCTCAAAAAAAAAAAAGACTCTTGATCGATGATTATGAGAAGTCATAAAACATACAGGAGATATTTATGGTTCACAAATTTTACCTGTCAATAACTAGGTGCAACTGAACTTTAAGTGAGAGCTAAAGTTTCTTGCACACTTCTTTAAGCTCAGGTGTATAGGAGTAAAGTGTAATGATACCTGCAACTGACTTTGAAATACATTAAAGAAAATAAAATGGGCCAGACACGGTGGCTCACAGGAGGCCAAGGCGGGAGGATTGCTTGAGGCTAGGAGTTCAAGACCAGTCTGGGCAACATAGCGAGATCCCCCCCTCTACAAAAAACAGAACAATTAGCTGGGGATGGTAGCGTGTTCCTGTAGTCCCAGCTACTCAGGAGGCTGAGACAGAAGGATCGCTTGAGCCCAGGAGTTTGAGGTTGCAATGAGCTATAATGAGGCCACTGGGCAGCAGAAGTGAGACTCTGTCTCAAAATGAAAAGAAAAGGAAAAGAAAAGAAAGAATAAAATGGATAGAGGGATGGATAGATGGCTTGCCATGTGAAAAGCATAGCAATAGAAAAATGTTAATTGTAGAACCTAGGTGATGGGCTTATGAGTGTTTACTGTGAAATTCTTTCAATTCTTGAATGTTTGAAAATTTTTATGGTAAAATGTTGGGGTGAGGAAGATCAGTCATTTGTTCTTCAAACTATAAAGACATGCTAGGTGCCTTTACATGCATCACATTTTATCTCAGACAACCCTGTGAAGTTGCCATTAGCCCCATTTTATAAATGAAACAACTAAGGCTCAGAAATGTTGAATCGTATGCTAAAAGCCACATAGCTAGTGGGGACTGAGCTGAGCCTGGAATCCAGGTCTGCCAGTTCAGGAGGGGCTATGTGGTGAAGTAAAAATAACTCCCAGTTCCCATTAATAATCATCTTTGGAACCCAGGGATTCAAAGAAGCAGTCTTTTGGTTCAAAGAAATATTTGAGTCACTCAGCACCAGTCCTGGCATGCAGACATGCTTAGTTCCACCCACCGCTTTGTTTATTGCATTAGCAATAATGGATCTAATAGATCTAAACAGGCCAGAAAGAACTCCCTTAACTGTTGCTATTTATAGTAAGAATTAGATTGGAAAGACTATGCCTTGATTTCAACTCTAATCAAAAGTAATTTATTCTTTCTTTAAAAAAAAAAAAAAAGAAGTCCCTAGCATTATAATTCCAGCTGCTATAAGCCCAAGAATGCATCTTCATTCGAAACCAGGGAACAAGCAAATATCTGAGAGGAAGAAAATGCTGCAATCACTAATTCATACAGTGAAGAGATGGACCAATTCTAAAGTTCATTGGGTTTGTTATTTTGTGTGCTATATACAGAGTGAAAGTGAAGCAGGACAGTTCCCCACTGGAGGCCATTGTCTATGGCCACCTCTAGACCAAAGAATGCCAACAATGGCTTGACACCACATGTGTCTCCTTGCCAGATGTTTCACCTGCATTGGCTACTAGGCAGAATCCTGGGATGAGCTTCCTCCCATGGGGACAGGCCCATGGTGTGCCCTATATTCTGGGGGATCCAGAGTCAGTGCAGGCTCCTTTAATAGGCACTTGCATCTGGGGTACCCCATCTTGGAGAAGCAGGAGAGACACTAGCCAAAAAGGACAGTGCTCTAAGGGAGAGAACAATCCAGAAGGAAAAGCCAGCTAGGCAAATGGTTTTTGGTGAAATAACCCCAAGTGGGGCATAGAACAAGGGGCTCTGGGAGCAGGAGCCTCAGAAAATGGGATCAGCCCTCAGGCAGCTATTTAAATGCCTGCCTCCTTCTGCCCACAGACCTTCTCTGTGCCCCTGACCTCTGCTTTTTTCCTAACACAGAACTTCCTCTCCTTATCCCCCAAATGCATAAACTTTGCCTTTTCCTTACTAAACTTTGATCGATTTGTGTGAGCTCCATCACCCACACTCTTGAAATGTATCTGGAAAGTACCGGAAATGAACTGGGGGATCCTGGCCTCCCAAAATTGGGATTGGCTCTGAGAGCCCTCCTGCAGCCTGCTGCCACCTCAGCCTCTTGCTGCCAGAGCGGTGGATCCACTGATGGGCTTCCAGGGTATACTTGCGCTTGAAGCCTTTCCTACATTCAGGGCAGGGGAAGGGCTGGCTGTCCGAGTGAATGCGCCAGTGACTGAGGAGGAGAGAAGAGTAGGTAAAGCAGAGGCCACAGTCAGGGCAAGGGTAGGGCTTCTCACCTGTGTGTACGTGCCTATGGATGGCCAGCAGGGAGGTGTAGGCGAAACGGAGGCCGCAGTCGGGACAGCTGTAGGGCTTCTCGCCTGTGTGCTTGCGCTGGTGAATGGCCAGCAGGTAGGGGTAAGTGAAGCGACTCTTGCACTCTGGGCATGGGTAGCGCTTCTCCCCAGAGTGAGCCCGCCTGTGGATGGCCAGGGAACCCCCTATGGCAGAAGCGGCGCCCACAATGGGGACAGGGGTAGGGCTTTTCACCTGTGTGGATGAACTGATGCTGGAGCAGGTACTTGCGCTGGGAGAAACAGGCCCAGCACTGGTCACAGGGGAAGGGCCGCTCCCCAGAGTGGACCCGCTGATGGCTGGCCAGGAGGGAAGGGTAGCTGAAGTTGCGGCCACAGTCTGGGCAAGAGTAGGGTGGTCTGGGGGTTAGAGTGTCCTTGAGCCAAGGTTTGATGGGGCTTTGCCTCGGGTTCCTGCAGAGCTCTGGGCAGGCAGCTTTGGGACTAGAGCCAGGTGGCATGTTGGCTGGCAACCAATCCTTGAGAGACATTTCTTCAAGTTCCACTTTTTGTTTTGCACTCTTCTTCAGCCTTGCTTTCTCCTCATTCCCATCCCTGGATCCTGAGATAGGGAAAAAGATAAAACCTGAAACTTAGCAGTGTGTTCTAGACCATGTTCTGCCTCGGAAGACAGCATGAATGGCTGAGAATGAGGCCCCCAGGGAACACAGCTCAGTGATGGAGGCCTCATTAAGCCCTGAAAGCTAACCTGGAGTAAAAGCAAATTCCACTGTCTGGAGGTTAACACAGGAAGACCCGAACACTGGAAATAATGGAAGAGGAGTTAACAATATCGAACACCTACTCTACGTCAGGTATTGAGAAGAGCGATGGTCCCAGCTCTCATGGAGCTTACAGTCCTGAACTTATGTGTGATCTTTTTGCAAAAGAGCCATTAAATGACCTTTGATGCCATTCAAGGCCATCACCAAAAGCCTGGACTGCACACTAGGTTCCATGGGAAGACCTCCTGGAACACTTATTATGACATCATGGCTGCAGGAAAAACATTTTGTCTTCATTATAAAATCTGATGAATGGCATTATCTACTATGCTGTGATCCACATAATTAGATTCCAAGAGAAACATTTGTCTTCATTTTATCACAAGAAAAATCAAATTACATGTGTTTCCTCTTTTCCCTTTACTTCCTGGGAAGCTTTATTTTGTGTTCAACTGGGTTTTTCCAGGATGATTAATTGGCTCTATAAGTCCAAATTTAGCTGTTCTCTTGAGCTATTTTGCAGTGAGATAAGGTGCAGGGAGCCACGATGGGACTCTGGAGGGGTCAGTGTGTCCTGAGGATTGGAGTTGTGGGGTGGGGGTAGAGGTTTCTCAAAGGCCACATACTAGGGCTTTAAATGAAGTACCTGCTACCTTTCCCGTGCCTCTGCTGACAGCAGTCTCACCCGATGGATCCTGGGCTTCCGGGATCCACGCCTCTACCTGTCCTTCCACCCAAGAGACAAAAGCGGGTCTGGAGCCTGAAAAGCCTGCGAAGGAGAAATACTGGGCTCGGCTGAGAACACAAGAGGGGACGACGAAGCTGCTTCCCCAGTGGCCCCACTTCCAGCCCACTCGCCCGTGGGGACAGCAATCCCCCGATCCCGCAGATCACTGGTGGTCCTGGGCCGAGCGCCGGGCCTCACCCAGCGCGTCCAGGTGGCCGTAGGTCTCCCGCATCACGTCCCGGTACAGGGCTCTCTGAGCGGGCCGCAGACACCCCCCACTCCTCCGGGGAGAAGTACACGGCCACGTCCGCGAAGCTCACGGCCCCCTGCCTTCTTTCCCTCGTCTCCTGGGGCCGGGCCTCCCCGAGCACATCCTCCGGGAGCGGAGCCAGGGGCGGCCCCATAGGAAACCTCCTAAGTGCTTGGCAAAGAGAGGCTTCCAGGATACGTGGAAACGCTGTAGCTTTCCGGTCTTTCCTCAGAAAAGTCCGTAAGGCTCCAGAGCGCTGCCCTTAACCAAGATGACGCCTTTCCGGCGTCAACATTCCTTGCTTTTCCTCTCTGCCCTTACATACCGGACCCACAGCACAGCCTATAGATGACATGAGTTGATTGGACAGCACTGGGAGGCCAGGGAAGAATGAAGGCTGTGATTGGTCTTTCCGGGGCGGCTTGTTTGAAAGGCTGAGGGTGAAGGGGCGACTGACCTAAAAGTAGTTGAGGGGCCTTGATGTCTCTCCTGACTCGCATTTCCCTGACGGCAACCCAGGAGAGAGGTTCTAACCGGTTGACTCTACTCCCTCCTGCTACTTAGGTGGGATCTCTTACAGGCAGATTCGGACGTCCCAGGGCTTCGAGGTGAGTAAAAGCTGAAAGGCAAAGACTGAGGCGGATTCTGGAGGTGAGGGAGTGATGGACGGCCCATCCCAACTCTGTGCCCTCTGCATTCAGGGTAGGGCTAGCTAGCCTGGGGTGACCGCTACCCAGCATTTGATTTGGCCTTTGCCCCGAGGTCACAGATATCTTCCCTTTTAGAAATGCAGAAGGCCGGGTCGGGATTCAAAGTATTCTGGTCCCCAGGTTCACTTAAGTGCTTAGTGTAGGGCCCTGCACAAAGTAAGTACTTAATAAATATGAGTTTATAGTTATTACTGTAATTATTATTACCATCTCTGTCCTGTCCCTACCAGAAAACCTGTATTCAAATTACAGCTGATAAATGAATAATAAAACTGGGAAATGAATCACATCATCTCTTAAGACTGTTCTTCAAACCTTTCCAACCAAGTATTCATAGAAGCAGTGGAGGAAAGTTCTAGATGTATAACAAAAAGCTGCCCATCCCCACAGTGAAACCACTTTGAAGACATAGCTTTAAAGTTCACATGAATTTACATTCTATTTCATAATATAACCAAATTCAAAAGAATATATAGTCAAAAGTAAGTTTCTCAAATATTGGACTCTTACACTATTGATGGAGTATGAGTTGGGGTAATCGCTTTGGAAAACTGACAGTAACTACTAAAGCTGGAATATATGCATACCCTATGACCCAGCTATTCCATCTCTACGTGTATACTCAACAGAAATGCATACATATATGTTTCCTCTTAAGACATGTACTCCTGTGTTCTCTGAAACACTAGTTGCAATAGCCAAAAACTGGAAATTATCCACAACGGTGAAATGGATCAATAAATTGCAGGATATTCATTAAATGGAATGAGAGTGAATGACATACAACTACATGTATAATATGGATGAATCTTGCAGCAAAAGAAGCCAGCCACAAAATAGTATGTAATATACGATTCCAAGAGAGTGCCAGAAGCAGAGAGGAGAAAACATATTTCCACACTGTAGAGGACACCTTTGTCTGGGAAAGTTTCCTTGTTGTTCTTCTCAAGAACATGTCTGTGACCTTGCACGCAAGTCCAGAGCGCCCTCACCCTGCAAACAGGAGGGGCTAGTGAATTGAGATGCAAATGATCTGCTTGCCAGAGACGAAACAACAAGGAACTGGGACGTGTTGAGTCGGGATGGTGTGGGAACAAAGAACTTGCGGTGGGACAGTTGCCAAACAGCCTGTATTATAAATAAAACAGCTACAGCGAGAGCTTTCGCTGCAGCCTCATACTGTCTTGTGGTGTCTGTGTCTTTTTGTACGGGCTGCAGTCATGTGTCTGCGTCTTTATATCTCTGTGTTCATTCCTCGGTCTGAAGTCGGGCCACATCACGCACTCTGGGACTTCCTGACTCACTTGAATTCCAGCAGTGCAGAGTTAGTGCCTGCTCTGCAGGCTTTGGATTAGGCCCTGTGGCTGCAGGAAAAACTCAGAAATAAAATGGAAGTCTGCGCTGTGATTTCCAGCAAGAGAAAGAGGAGGAAGAACTGATGGAAAAGCTCTAGGAGATCCATAAAGATTAGGATCCTGAGAATAGAATGAATTTAAAACACATCTGGGTCCAGGTGCGGTGGCTCACAGCCTTAGCACTTCAAGAGGCTGAGGCAGGAGGATTGCTTGAGGCCAGGAATTCAAGACCTGCCTGGGCAACATAGCAAGATGTCATCTCTAAAAACAACAGAAAAATTAGATGAATATGGTGGCATGCACCTGTAGTCCCAGCTACTCACAAACCTGAGGCAGGAGGATCACTTGAGGCCAGGAGTTTGAGGTTGCAGTGTGCTATGATGACACCCTGCACTCCAGCCCAGGCAACAGAGTGAGACCCTGTCTTAAAAACAAACAAACAAACAAAAATGCCCAACACACCTGGGCCCCAATCTTGACTACATGCTCTTCAGGAGCCAAGCCTATGAGAGGAATGAGTCCCCCAGCAGCAGAACTAGATGTCCCCTGTCTCTGAAGCAGGTTCTGGACTGAAAACAATTAGAACTTTTACCTTGATTCCCATTGAGAGTATAAGGAGTATCACAGTTCTGTGTACTCATGGCTCTTCCACTTCCCCAAACCCAGTGTCATTAAAATAAAATTGGAAATTGAAAAAGAAAAAAATATGATTCCATTTATGTAAAATATGAGAACAGGCAAACCTAATCTAAGCTATTAAAAATCAGGATAGTGTGTTACTTTTACGCTTCTAGGATGCTGGTAATGTTCTGTTTCTTGATCTAGGTTCTGGTTACTCAGATGTGTTCAGTTTGTAAAAAATGAGCTAGGTACTTATGTGATTGTGTTTTTATGTATATTATACTTCAATTTAAAAAACTCCTCCTTCTCCCTCCCTAGTGGCAACCTCTATTACCAGTTTCTTGTGTCTTTCCTGAAATAGTTCATGTTCATAAACGCATATGTATATTTTGGTTTTTCTTTTCACAAGTAGCATACTAAACATGCTGTTTACATTGCTTTTTTTCCCCACTTAATATATCCTGTAGATTGTTCAACTATGGCACATAAAGAGCCTTTTTTTTTTAATGGCTGCATAGTGTTCCATTGTATGGATGAAACTATTTAACCCATTTTCTGTTGTCATAATTACCTTTTTGGATTGTCCAATTAGTTTGTTTCCAGATATACTATTGTAAACTGATGCAGTCATATCTTTAGAAATACAGTTGACCCTTGAACAATATGGGTTTGAACTGCACAGGTCCACTTATACACAGATTTTTTTTCAGTAAATACATTGGAAAATCTTTTCAAGATTTGTGACAATTTGAAAAAACAGATGAACAATGTAGCATAGAAATATTGAAAAAATTAAGCAAAAAGTATGTCTTGAATGCATAAATGATATGTAGATACTGGTCTATTTTATCATTTACTACCATAAAATATACACAAATATAAAAAAGTTTAAAAAAATTTTCTCGAGATAGGGTCTTGTTATATTGCCCAGGCTGGTCATAAAAAATTAAAATTTATCAAAACTTACATATAAAAACACAGACCATACATGGCACCATTTTCAGTAGAGAGAAATGTAAATAAATGTAAAGATGCAATATTAAATCATAACTACATAAAATTAACTGTAGTACTGTTACAGCAAGTGTTACAGCAGGTGATCCCAAGGACAAACCGAGTGGCACACAGAGAGTCGGAGAATCGAGGTTTATTCGCCGGCAGGCTCGAGGGGTCTTGCCACCAAATTCTGAGCCCTGTCTACCCAATTTTTCCCACCTGTATTAGTTTGGAGTGGTCTGAGGGGTGGGGATCTCAGGTGGCTGATGCACCAGGTAATAGATGGGGGTCTTCCTTTTCAGTACATACTGTACTTCTGTAATAATTTCATAGCCATGTCCTTTTGCTATTGCAGTGAGCTCAAGTGTTGTGGTACCCATTTCAAACGCCATGTGACGCTAATCATCTCTGCTTGAACAGTTGTCTCTCCAGTAATTTGCATATCACAGTAAAAAGTGATCTCTCATGGTTCTCTTGTATTTTTCATCGTGTTTAGTGCAATACCGTAAACTTTGATTAGCAGCATGGAACCCATACAAAGTACCCCTAGAGATGTTGGAAGTGCTCCCAAGAAGCAGAGAAAAGTCATGACATTATAAAAAAAGTAAAATTGCTTAATGTATACTGTAGTTGAGGTCTGCAGCTGCAGTTGCCTGCCATTTTGAGATAAGTGAATCCAGTGTAAAGACCATTTGTTTCAGGAGAATCCTGGGACACTATAGAAAGACTGCCTTCCAAACTGAGATGGAGTCAAGAGACCAAAGAATGACTCAAACCAAATCCAGCTTGTTGAGTTAAATGTGTCTATTAGAGCTTACTTACAAAGGGCGCTCACTCCTGGGTGACACGGGAATTCTCCCAAGAGTAAGATCCACCTGGCCTACCCATGGTGTCACTTTAAACCGGAGATTTTGGTTTTACAATTAGCTAAAGGGACAGTTAAAGCAGTTCTCAAGCAGTCAGGGCTGGTTTAAGCCAGTTGCCTATCAGTCAAGAAAGAGCTGAAGCACATCTCCTGTGCCTTTTAGTTATCTCTGATATTTGCTTAATCTATTTTGTAACAATTTTATTGAGCACTCCCAGCTAGCACAATATTTCTCTGTGTGTGGTGGGGAATTTTGTATTTTTCTCTCACCATTGTAAAAACAAGAAAAGGAAATTCATGAAGCTGTCACTGCAGCTATGCCAGCAGGCACGAAAACCTTGCACTTTTTGCAGAATACTTTTTTATCTGGTATTGAAAATGCAGCTTTTGTCAATCATTGAAAGGGTGAAAATAGAGTAAAAAAAATAAAGAATAGAAAATGCAGCTTGTATGTGGGTGCAGTATTGCTATAAGAAAGGCATACCTGTAGACTCTAATATGATTTGAGAAAGAGTAAAATCATTATATGACAACTTAAAGCAAAAGGAAGGTGAAACATCTAAAGCTAGAGAACTTAATGCCAGCAAAGGAGGGTTTGATAATTTTAGAAAGAAGTTTGGCTTTGAAAATGACAAGATAACAGAAGAAGCAGCTTCTGCCGACCACAAAGCAAAAGACAAGTTCCCAGACACCATTAAGAA